CGAGAATTTTACAAGTTATGGTAAAAAAGTTGTTTTGAACATTGAGGTAGCAATGCAACAGTTTCTGCTGTATATGATAATTACATGAAACTAGTGTAGTAAAAGTATTATTACTAATACAGCACTATTATTTACATGTAGAGAGTGTTTTTGCTTAGCAGGAGCACCCAAAATTTTAACAATTAAGTCTAGTCATTCTTTGTTATTTTTACCTTTAATTTGTAAAGTTCACCAATAAATCGAATATTCCCTAGAGTTCTCCTTCTGCCTTTGAGTTCTTCTAAAGCTAGTTCTGCCTTCTTCACCTTAAGCTCTTCACCCTAAAATGATRAAAAAGTCATTATTCTGTAAYATAAGGTAAGACAAAGACACTGTTCTCTAATGTTTCCMAAATCCACATTCACTTGCAAACAAGTATAATGCCCACCATAAAAGTGTAATTTAAACTTACCGACAATCCTGCTTGCAGTAATTCTTCCATTTTCTTGTGAATGCTTTGTTCATCATCTTTCTCTCTTTCAAATTCTTTCTGGCACTTGTTTAGAAGTATTTTACGGAACGTAAGGCTCTGCTCCTTCCCGTCTTGAGTAATTTTGACATTTGTCTTTAGAAAAAAATGTTTAASAGTTAAAAATATTATATTATTAAGAAAATAAACCAAAAGGAAGGTAGGAATACTTACAGGAATCAGGCATCTACATAGGTTAGCATAGGCTACACTAAATGCTGGCTCTGTAATAGCCTAAGAAATAACACAAAAACATAGCTGTCAAGTTACAACACCCAAAGAATATTTTGCATAGAAAACAGAATCTAATAGTCAAGRTGTAATGGTTCAAAATATGTCATCAATGACCAATTGCTTTAAAAATACCTTTTCAAAAGTRATATTGATAATTTCCTCCAGCCTTTCAGGAGTATCGATGTCCAGCTCGAGCACTTGWGATATCAAAGTTTGGAATTTCTGAGGSGTGAGCTTGTTGAGAATTCCACGGAATTTACGGATTGTTTCCTGAAAAACAACAGAAGCGATAATGAAAACTAAAACTACTTAGGACAATAATTTATCACATTACAAGGGCTTTACATCAATTTCRAGGACTTTTGCCTCAGTTTCAAGGTCTTTTATCTCATTTTCAAGGACWATTGCATCATTTWCAAGGACTTGTGCATCATTTTCAAGGACTTTTCAAGAAAAAAGTTAAAAAATTTGTACTAATTAACATCGAACTGATACAACCAGTAAATCATATACATGTATTCACCTGAGTTTTCTTCTCTTCTTCTGATAAAGTTTTTTCAGACTCAACWGGTCGAACCCATCGATTTTCTGTCTTAACCAACTACAAGATACAAACAAAACATTCCTTACTGTCGAGTGGAAATTTGGGCAGAATTTGGACATCAGAAACTACTTTTTATAAAATCATTTGAACTGCTATGTTTAAATCAGAAAAAAACTGTGATGTGAAATTATCAAAACAAACTGTGCTCAAGCAATCAAAGAAATTTAGTCTTACAATCATTTTGCAATAGTAATGCCTTGTAGAGATCATATTGTATCACAGATAACTGCCTTTAAAACTATAAAAACATTCTGAGCAGGAACCAAGAGTTTTTCAAACAGTGTTTTCTACATGAACTGTTCTTCATTATGACATCATAATTAAAACA